AAATCAAAATGTATTTCTTCGGCATATGGTCCGTATAATATTGAAAAAGGAGAGTAATTTGTGGCACTATGAATTGATTGGTTATAGATTAATACTGCATGTGTAAATGTGTCGTCTAAGGGGTCTTGTGGGTTTTGATTTCGTAATGTTCTAAGTTTCTCAAGTAGGGTAGAGTGGAATCGTTCTACGGGGGAGTTTGATGATGAATTATTTACTGTGGTATAATGAATTTCAATTTTATGTAATTTCATAAATTCGATGACTAAGGCAGAATTAAATTCTTTACCGTTGTCACATACGACTTTTTTGGGGTAATTGTGGTGAGAGAAATAATGTCTTAATTTACTTAATATCGAGATTGAAGTTTTATCAGGAATTTTATAACACTGAGCGTATTTTGAGAAAGAATCTACTATTGTCAGATAGAGATTTTTATTGCACTGAAATATGTCTATGTGTATTATGTCAAAAGGTTTCTGTCCTAGTAAAGGGCCTAATTGTGGAAGTTTGTAAGGGTGTCTTTCATATTTATTTGTTAAACAAATTTCACATTTATTAATGAGGTTAGAGATTGTTGTTTGCATAGAGGGCCAGTAAAATTGATGCCTTAAATGTTTATAAGTCTCTACTATGCCGTTATGATTTTCATTATGATACTTTTGTACACATTCTATTTGTTTTTGTTCGTTTTCGATGTCTTGTAATAATGTGTTGCAAAATATAGCTTTAACAGTTGTGTCTATGTATTCACGAAAATATTTACAAACAAAAGGTCTAAATTCGTGAGGTATTTTTATAGCAAATTTTTGATTTGGTCTTAGTAAACTTTTGAATGCGTCAGTAATTTCCATTATCCAGTCATCGGTAATTGTTACAGTGTGTCTGTGTTTGTTAAATAATTTTTTATAAGTTATGTCATACTCTTTAGATTGAGGGACAAAGATAATTTGATTTGTTGAAAGGTTAATGGGTTCTTCCGAAATCGGAATTCCCGCAATTGGGTTTTCTGCTGCCGTGTGTTGCGTGTTATCAGTACTAGGGGGTTGTCTGTCGTTTAATTGTTCAAAAAATTCGTCGAGGTCAAAGTCATTCAAGTCATTAAGATTTGGGGGTTCGACACACATAGAATTGCCGGTGAGTGCATTTATCTGTACTCGAGAAAGGGCGTCGGCTACTTGATTTTCTTTTCCTTTTTTGTATTTTACCTCGAAATTATAATCTTCGAGTTTTAATCTCCAGCGTGCTAATCTGGAAGTGGGATCTTTAATTTTATAAAGCCATACAAGGGGATTATGGTCAGATTCAACAGTGAAATTTTGAGCGTATAGATAAGGGCGAAAATGTTTACAAGAATCGATTATTGCTAATAGCTCTTTTTCGGTTGTTGAATAATTTTGTTCTGCGGAGTTCAAAGTTCGAGAATAATATGCGATTGGGTGATTATCTTGTGTTAATACCGAGCCAATGGCTATATTAGAAGCATCAGTAGTTAGAACAAAATGTTTAGAGAAATCTGGGTATTGAAGAACAGGGGCATTGGATAATAGTTGCTTACATTTTTCGAAGCATTCGAGATAAAGTGAATTATTGGGGTCGATAACTGCTCCTTTTCGGGTGCAACGAGAAAATGGGGATGTAATTTTTGCAAAGTTTGGGATAAATCGTCGATAGTATCCTATAAGTCCTAAGAAGGATTTAATTTCTTTTAGTGTCTTTGGGAGTGGAAATTTCTGAATAGCCTCTAGTTTAGCGGGATTTGGTTTTATACCTTCGGGGGTTACTATATGTCCAAGAAAAGCTACTTCTTTCGTAAGAAATTCAGATTTGTCAAGCTGTACCTTTAAATTCGTTTTTTGAAATGTTTCAAAAATAGTTGCAATATGTACGAGGTGTTCCTGTAGGGATTTTGAAAATATAATTACATCGTCCATATAAACGAAACAAAATTTGTAAAGAAAAGGCCTAAGGACGTTATCCATTAATTTTTCGAAAGTGGCAGGGGTATTTTTAAGCCCAAATGGCATCCTCACAAATTCAAAGTGTCCATGAGGAACTGTAAAAGCTGTTTTTTCAATAGAGTTGGGGTGAAGTTCGATTTGGTGAAATCCCTGCGCTAAATCAAGAGTTGTAAAATAAGTTGCTTTGCCTAAATTGTCTAAAATTTCATCAATTTTCGGCAGAGGATATTTGTCGTCAATTGTATTGTCATTTAATTTACGATAGTCTATTACCATACGGAATTTTTTCTGGCCGGAAGCGTCGGCTTTTTTTGGTACTATCCAAACAGGGGCTGAATAGGGTGAAATTGAGGGTCTAATTATTTTATTATCTAATAATTTATTAACTTGTCTGGTAATTTCTTCTTGCATTACCTTTGGATGTCGAAATCCTCTAACATAGATAGGATTTTCATCCCGTGTCCTAATTGAATGCTTTATAGCTGAAGTAAAAGTTAAGTCTGATTTTTCGTCATAAAAAATGTCTTTATATTTCTTACATAATTTTAAAATTTTTTCTTTTTCCTCTAAATTTAAATGTTGAGTACGAATTATTGAAGGGTCAAAATTTATCGGACCTTCTGAGATTTCATAATTATCTAAATTTTCTACTTGTATTGGTTCTAATTGTTCGGGGCTAGGGAGATAAATGTCATCTATATAACCGTTTGTAACAGTGTGGATTGATTCGGGAATTTCTATGTTATTTATTTTAATTTCGGGGAAAAGTATTTCGCCACTACTTATATTAACTGGAATTTTGTTATATAAAGTGTCGAAAGGGATGATAATATTAAAAGCTCTTAATGTCAGTGTTTTAGTTTGGTAGTCTATTAATGCGCGTAAACGTTCTAAATCATAATTTCCAAGTAAAATATCAAAATGTTTACTCCAATCAGCAATTCTAGCATCGATAGTTTCGTATATGTTAAATTCTTTAAATAAAGGCGTTTTAATATTTGACAAAAATGTTTGAGTTATTTTCATTGACGTTAATGTAAATGGTTTTTTATATTTGTGAGTTGGATCAAAATATGTCGCGGCTTTTGGTGAAATGATAGTGTCTGAACCTCCTGAATCAATAAGAACTTTTAATCTTGTTTTAGGCATAATAAAATAGGGTAACTGGGGATAATTATGAATATTATTTAGGTCTATTGAGGCGGCGGTTGTCCTTCTGAAAAACCGACCTGAAAATTTTCCTGATGAAAATTTTCTGTCCCGTCATCATAATTTTCTGTATCATTAAATTCAAAATTTCCGGGCATAGATTCGGAATTTTTATCTCTGGAAGTATCTATATTAAAATTATGCGTCCTTCTAGTGGATAAACTCATAGGTTGATTTTTTGTAGTAATTGTTTGTACGCCACTCATGGGAGTGGGAGAACTTTGATAATTTTGGGAATTTCTAAATGATCTATTAAAATTTTGGGGGTTATTTCGGAAAGACGAATTATTCGGAAATGAAGATGAATTATTAAAATTTTGAGTGTTGTTTCTGAAATTAGAATTGTTGCCGAATTGTGGCGAATTATTAAAATTTTGATTATTTCTATAAGTAAAAGCATGTGGAGGTTTATTTTGTGAAAAGTTTGTGAAATTTGGTTGAAAATTACCCTGTGAGTGTGAAAAATTAGGTTTATTGTATACAGGCTTGTACGAGGTTTGTTTAATGGGATTAATTCTTTGTTTTGGATTTTGTTGACCTTTCAGGAAATTCATGTATTGTTGTTGACTCTTATGATTATCGTAAGTAATGCATTTTTGAAGGCCCTCTTCAAGACTTTCAATTCTAAAATGCGACAAATATTCACAATATGGTTCATTTATACCTGTACAAAAAGTTTTAAGAGCAATGCCTTTAAAATAAGGTGTTTTGAAATTTAATGTTTCGGGGTTGTCATTTAGTGATATGTGTTGCAATAAATCATTTAAATTGTCGCACACTCTTTGGTGATAATCGTCATATGTCTCGTTTGTTTTTTGTACCGTTGTAGATAACTGTGTCACTAAAATGTCTTCAGAACGTCTGTCGCCGTATTTTGCCAAAAGGGCAGGTCGAATTTCATTCCAAACTGTTTTATTAGTAAAATTTAAATAGTCTCTAGGTTCACCCTTGATACGAGAAGCAATATTAGCATTTAAAATAAATTCTTGTGGTTGAGTTAAATTTTGATTAGATAAGAATACAATTAAATTATCGACTGATTTAATAAATGTGGAGAGGTTATCTCCTGTAGAAAATTCAGGTAAAGTAGCACAAAGGCTAGAAATATCACTATTAGTCATAGGCATTTCGGGGCGAAGAACGTTTCGAAAATTTTCAGAAGGATTCTGAGAAAGTTGAGAACTATTCGCTTGATCAGAAATGTCGGTAGTCTCTAATTTGAGACCGGCTAATATAACGTGTAAGTTTTCTTCGGAAATATTATCTAAAGTGCTCATAAAGGATAAAGGAAAATTGTACTCACAAAAGGATGATCACTGAAGATGTCCTCTGCATGCTACTTCTTCCTCTCGTCCTAGGTTCGGTGGATTTTTCGTTAAACAACTGAGTTGACCAGGAAAAGTGAGTTTTCTGTACGAAGAATCCTGTTCGCAGCGCCAGTTAAGTTAACAACACTTTAAGTTTCCAAAAAAAAGCAAACTTTATTTATTTAAAAAATATACAAAAATGGATCTTTAATTAACAATGTTTATCGTAAGTGATTAAAATAAAAAGAACGTTGATTCCCACGTTGACATGGTATTTATAATCTCGGGTTCATTGTCGCCAAGGTGCAAAGCGCTGACTTTGCTGACGAGGCACTCCGGGCATTGAACGGTGGGTTTCTATCACATTTCTATATATATACTTCAGACATTACATACAGGGAGAGTTAACGGTTATATAAAGTTGAAATATATAAAAGATATTTTTTACAAAACTCTCTGTAGAGAGATAATTAATCCAATTTTGGAAATATAAACATGAATCATCTCCAATTCTTCCTCATTACCTCAAAATGAAAACAAACCAAAGAAAAATTGAAAAAAATGAGAATTAAAGAAGGAAAAAATGATTGCAACGACCAGGGATCGAACCTTGAACTTTCAGACTATAGCCGTACATGTTCTTACCATTTAAGATATCGTAGCACATGGCATTCGACATTCAAATTGGTAGAATTGAATTCAATTAGATTCTGACTCTCGTCGGCGCACATACAAATTCTAATGCCATCACAGCTCTCTCAATTCTTCTTAAAGCTACACTAGGCGTTATACAAAAGATAAACAATTGGCAAACGTTGACGATGACAGTCATACCACAAACCGTATTAGATGTAAAACAAAAGTTGGAAGATTTAAGATGAAGAAAAATTTAAAATAGAGTTCAAGGAAGAAAAGCTTACAAATCAAGTACACAATTGGTCTCAAATCACTCAAAATAGGTAAAAAAGCAACAATGGAATTTACGAAAGATACGGTTGAACATACTGTCTTTAAATGTCCCAGATGGGCGAGGAACAGGATGCCAATAAACATGGAACGCCGAACAATATTATAGAAACAAGGATAGGATGACCATATTTCTTTGAACTCAATGCTGGACGCTGAACACAAATACAACATTGATGAACTTGTGAGGACCATTTTTTTTAACTATATAAAGATAACCACAAAAATAAAGAAGAAGGCATGTAGATGACTAGAGGACTTTCTTTTAGCAGTTTTTCCATAAACAAAAGGAAGTATTTAATAAAATTGATCCCATACAGAAAAAAACTAGTCATAATAACATAGATTAACTTGTGAAAATAAATTTATTAACACTGTTATTTAATATACCAAAATCATAGTTAATTTGACAGATTATTTATCTTTCTACAGGGAGTTTTGTAAAAAATAGCAATTTTTGTATATTTCAACTTTATACAAATTTTGGCTCTCCCTGTATATGATATTGGAATTTATATACGTGTTCTTTGTCTGTCTGTTACGAACTTCATTGGGTTCGAAAGGTCCCGGAACATTGATATTTTCTCTGTCGAAACATACTGAAAATTTTTAAATATTCCTTCGGGAAAAGTGATTTTCCACCCATTTTCCAGCAAGACCAACTGTTCCTTAAAAACAAAACGTATACCATTCAACATTCTTGACAATCTGACATCAAAATTTTCTTGATACCTCGAACAAATTTCCTAGAAAAAAAATAGGGGAAATTTTGGATTTAACGCTTTACCGGGAAAAACTTTGTTTAAAAGAGGAGATAGAGCAAAAAGAGCTTAAGAAAAATTATTCGGTTCGACAAGACGCGTTGATTGATGTGTCACATGACAGGAGGAGGAGGAGGAAATAAAAAAATGTGAAAATTTTTAAAAAATGAATATAAAATAAATATTTTTTTTTTCAGAAATTTATGAAAAAATAAATGCATTTTTAAAATGTCCCTATCGAATAATGTAGGAAAATTTGAAATTTATCTACAGTAAAGTGGGTTTTCATAATTTTTCCAAATGATTCATCCGTTTTGCAAAGTGGGTTTTTACACATTTTTCAGCTGAATTATCTGTTTCGAAAAATTTTCTTTCGTTTGATGAAATTCGAAAAACAATTACGTTTTCTGAATTTTCTTACTTTTCCGACGAATTCTTTGGAAAAACAAAAAATTAGCGTATAAACTTTGACATTTTTAACAATCTGGCATCCAAATTTTTTCGATTTCGAAGACGAATTTTCCAGGAAAATTGGGAGAAAATTTGAGTCCCGTAAAAACGATGAATTTTCTTTTAATTTCTTTTAGAAATTTATGAAAATATTAAAATAAATGCATTTTTAATATCCCTCCCTATCGGATAGTGTCGGAAAATTTGAAATTTAGCTACGGTAAAGTGGTTTTTCGCACACTTTCCAGCCGATAATCCGATTAGGAAAATTTCGTTTCGTTTAATGAAAATAAAAATATATTCGTTCTTTGAATTTTCTTACTTTTCCGACAAATTCTCCGGAAAAACTAAACAGTCGCGTATACACCTTGACATTCTTAACAATTTGCATTCAAATTTTTTCAATTCTGAAGGCGAAAATTCCAGGAAAATTAGAGGAAAATTTTAGTCCCATTAAAAAGAATTTTCTTTATTTTTAGAAAATTATGAAAAAAATTAAAATAAATGCATTTTTAAAATTTCCTTATCGAATAGTGTAAGAAAATTTGTAGTTTAGCTTTGGTAAAGTGGTTTATCACACATTTTCCACCTGGTTCACCCATTTAGGAAAATTTCTTTCGTTTGATGAATTTCAAAAAATATATTTTCCAATTTTTTTTCCAATTTTTCGACAAATTAATCGGAAAAACTGAAAACTCCCGTATACACTAATATTCTTGACAATCTGACATCCAAATTTTTCCGATTCCGCAAAGAGAATTTTCCAGGAAAGTTAGGAGAAAATATTGGTCTGCAAAAACGAAGAATTTTCGATTGTTTTCAGAAATTTATGAAAAATTTAAAAGAAAGGAGTTTTCAAAATTTGTTGATGCACTAGTATATCTTTTCTGGCTCACCCTGTAAAGTATATTTTTTATAATACAAAAGTGTCGTTTACACACACCTATTTAACCATATTATAGATTTTTAGTCCATTTAAACGATTTTTTAAACAGTTTTTTTTACCTTAATTTAAAAAAATACTCACCCTGTACACGTTGATATTGTAAAAATATGTACGAACTTTTCCACTATCCCTCAACATTAAATAATTCTTAGCAAATATTAGAGGTACTGATTTGAACATCCTGTATAGCACGGCGTAAAATAAGCCCATAAAAAACTCATTTCACGCCCACACGTATTTCTACATCGATAAAAAATATATTTTGACGTTTTTAACCACATTTTTCAAAATATTGGCAAGACAGAAACTTTTTTTAAATATTACTTTTAAAGAATTTTTCGTTGTACTGCAAAAGCTCCTTCAATTATTATTATTTTATTTTTATAACATTTATTGTACATCATAATCAATGTGGTTAAAAACTCGTAATTTGCACCAAAAATCCTAAAAGTATGAATAATTAAAAAATAAATATCAATATGTATAGCCAACAATAATCACAACACAGCTCACCGTACCTTCCAATCCAAATAGCTGCAGCATTTTGTTTTATTTCACGCAGATAAAGTCAAAAAATTGCTCACGTATTTTTAAAATATCAAATTCAGTGTGAGAAATCAGTTTTTAACGTTAATTTCGGTTTATTATGTTTATCAAAAATAACAGTGTTTTTGGAAAAACAATGAAAAATATTCACCCACATGTTCAAATTTTATAAATATTCTGCATAATCTGAATCAAATTCCAAACTTGATTATTTAAAAGACATTTTATTGGTATTACCCGAATAGAAATGACGCAATTTCTTGACTATACCGCAGTTACAAACAGAAAACTATTAAAAAATTGACTACAGATTCCTAATCTATAGAAATATTACTACCGTCTTACAATTTTAGGCCCATTTGTATAATCTAAAACAATACCTAAACTTTTTAACAATTTGAAAAACTTCGATCAGCAGAAATATTTCTATATATTTGTTTTTTTTTTGTTTCGTCGAACATAGGAATAAAATTAATTACAAAAATACCCACTAGTGTTTACAAGGGTGCAAGAAAACACTTAGTATTCAGATAAAGTGTGTAAAACTGTCTTTCTTCATCATCTCATAATTAATATTGACGCCAGGGAAAGAGCTACTAACAACACGGTCGGCACTAGTAGATGGCTTGAGCTTATTTCAGAACTTTCTTGGCATGTACCTGTGGAAATAAAAATGTATAAATTACATAATAAATAATACTTTGTAAAAATCAAAAATTGCTTAAAATGTCTGAAATTATCTTACAAATTCTGAAAGTAACTTACAAGTGTCTAGAAGTATTGTATGGGTATTTAAAAGTATCTGAAAACACCTTACAAGTATCTGAAATTTCTTTCATTCGCCAAACACACCTTAAATATGTCTAAACCAAGTTATAATGTTTGAAAGTATCTTAAAAGTATCTAGAAAGATTGTATCAATATCTAAAAACAACTGAAAACACCTTACAAGGTACGAAAACACCTTACAAGTGTTTAAAATCTCCCCACATCATAAAAGCCTGAACCAGCTCGCAATATCTGAAAATATCTTATAATTGTATAAAAGTATTATAGAAGTAACTAAAAAATTATATGCCTTATTAGGTATGAAAACATCTTACAAGTGCCTTTGAAAAATTTGCAGCCACCAGACAGACCTTACAACAGTCTAAAGTTGCTTACATTGTCTGAAAGTTTTGTGTAAGTATCTAAAAGTGCTTACAAGTATTTAAGAAAATCTTACAGTCACCAAGTACACCTTACAAAAGTCTAAAACATCTCACAAAGTCTGAATATATCTTATAAGCGTAAAAAATTATTATATAAGTAACCAAAAGTACCTGAAAACACCTTACAAGGCATGAAAACACCTTACCAGGGTCTGAAAAAACTTTCACTAGCCAAACACACCTTAAAAAAGTTTAAAACAAGTTAAAATGTTTGAAAGTATCTCAAAAGTATCTATAAAGATTGTATCAATATCTAAAAACGACTGAAAACACCTTAAAAGGTAAAAAACATCTTACAAGTGTTTAAAACACCCCACACATCATAAAAGCCCAAAACAGCTCGCAATATCTTATAGTTGTATAAAAGTATTTTACATGTAACTAAAAAAATCACATACCTTATAAGGTATGAAAACATCTTACAAGTACCTGAGAAAAATGAGCTGTCACCAGACAGACTTTACAACAGTCTAAAGGTCCTTACATTCTCTGAAAGGCTTGTGTCTGAAAGTGCTTACAAGTTTCTAAGAAAATCTCACAAAACAAAAAACAAAACCACATATCTTATTAGGTATGAAAACATCTTACAAGTGCCTGAGAAAAATAAGCTGTCACCAGATAGACCTTACAACAGTCTAAAGTTGCTTACATTGTCTGAAAGTCTTGTAAGTATTTAAAAATGCTTCCAAGTGTCTAAGAAAATCTTTCTCACCAAGCACACCTTACGAAAGTCTAAATCAGCTCAAAATATCTGAAAATATCTTATAAGCTTATAAAACTATTGTATAAGTAACTAAAAAACCACATAAGTGTCTCTAAGTACATTACAAGGTATGAAAACATCTTACAAGTGCCTGAGAAAAATGTAGACACCAGACGCACCTTACAACAGTCTAAAGTATCTTACATTGTCCGAAAGTACATAAGAGTTCTTACAAGTGTCTGATAAAATCTTACAAGTGTCTAAAACAGCTTAGAGTGAAAAGTACCTAACAAGGTATCAAAACAACTTTTAAGCGTCTGAGATGCACCCTATAACAGTCTAAAGTATCTTACATTGTCTGAAAGTATTGTGTAAGCTTACAAGTGTCTGAAAAAGTCTTACAGTCACCAAAAACACCCTACAAAAGCCTGAAAGTATCTTATAATTATCTAAAAACGCGTTAACTTACCATTACTAGTGAAATTAAACGCCCAGTTGCCAGTAACACCCGGTACAATATGCCTGTGGCAACTCTCCGTGACGCCTGACATCCGCAACACCGGCAGATCAACGCCTTTGATTAAAATGCCTTCGATGATGGGAGAATTAACTTGATCCTGTTTGTACATGAAGCAGTATTTGGCTTCGGTAGATTTCTTCGATTGGGGCGTAGTGATGACGTAAGAAATGCCGTTCTCTTCCCAACTTCCGTGGCAAGTGTAAGCTAGAAAAGAGAGGTAAAATTATTATGATAAATATTCGACCGCCTTGGTTCACGTATGACGGATTTCCAAACAGATTTATGACGAAAATGCTTACATAAAGGTTCTTGCGAACACGTCGATTTCAGCTCCATCTCGTGGGAACCACTGCAACCGACCGATAACGTTTCGTAATAGTCTGAAACGCAATCAGGTTCTTGATTGGCAGCTACGTTTTTGTTTTCTAAAAAAAAGATGGAAATATAATGAAATATAATAAAATATAATGAAATATAATGAAATATAATGAAATATAATGAAATATAATGAAATATAATGAAATATAATGAAATATAATGAAATATAATGAAATATAATGAAATATAATGAAATATAATGAAATATAATGAAATATAATGAAATATAATGAAATATAATGAAATATAATGAAATATAATGAAATATAATGAAATATAATGAAATATAATGAAATATAATGAAATATAATGAAATATAATGAAATATAATGAAATATAATGAAATATAATGAAATATAATGAAATATAATGAAATATAATGAAATATAATGAAATATAATGAAATATAATGAAATATAATGAAATATAATGAAATATAATGAAATATAATGAAATATAATGAAATATAATGAAATATAATGAAATATAATGAAATATAATGAAATATAATGAAATATAATGAAATATAATGAAATATAATGAAATATAATGAAATATAATGAAATATAATGAAATATAATGAAATATAATGAAATATAATGAAATATAATGAAATATAATGAAATATAATGAAATATAATGAAATATAATGAAATATAATGAAATATAATGAAATATAATGAAATATAATGAAATATAATGAAATATAATGAAATATAATGAAATATAATGAAATATAATGAAATATAATGAAATATAATGAAATATAATGAAATATAATGAAATATAATGAAATATAATGAAATATAATGAAATATAATGAAATATAATGAAATATAATGAAATATAATGAAATATAATGAAATATAATGAAATATAATGAAATATAATGAAATATAATGAAATATAATGAAATATAATGAAATATAATGAAATATAATAAAATATAATAAAATACACATTTTTTTGGATGGTTAAAGTCAGTATATTTATACTGTACCTGGTTCTTGCCTTCTTTTTCTTTTTTCGGCTTGTGTTGAAACGGTTGCTATCGTGTAGCGTCCTAAATGTGGGCATTTCTTCGCATGAAGCGTAGTTGCTAAAAAAATTAATAAAAAATTATACTTTAGCATTTAGTTGACCGAAAAACTTGTTCTATTATTAAAAAAAAATTCTACAACTCTTAGGGTTTTTTTATTGCTGGTGTTGGCAATGATCATCTTCAGTTCTTTTTAGTGGAAATGTCAAGTGTCAAGAGACAAAAAAGAGTTGAAATATTGCAATTTTTTATTATCAAGATGCTTGGAGACCAAAATTTACAATAATGTCGCCGTTACATCAACTTTAACATCGTCACATCTTCTTTCAACACCAGTTTTATTTAAATTTAAAGAACTTACTTATCAGCGTCGTGAAAGGAGTAGTAGAAGCATCAAATGTTGCGCACGCCTCATCTGGATTCTCTACATAATTTTCAGTTTGCTGTATTTCTATAACGTTAGAATCCCTCTTGTAGAATACCATACACACATATCCGCTATCACTGAAAACAAAATAACCATGTATTTTCTATTTTGCCGTAATAACTTTAAAATTAAACCTACCATCCTGCTGTGACATGAGCCACGATCTGCACCTTCTTCTGTTCCTGCTGTTGCAGAATTCCGTGACACACCAAGCGCATTTCCGAGTTTGGTTTCCTTTGTTCCTGCGACTGGAATCCGAATTCCTCAAAGGCGAAGGCTTGTGCGAAGTTCGGTTGGACTTTGTTGTTTTTCGGTGGTTCATCGTCCAGGATCTTCAACGTGGCGTTCCTTTGGGAAAACTTAAAGGTCTTGTGATGGTCCAAACTCAGCCAAGTGTGGTGATCGGTGATCCATATCGGAAACTTGCACCGTTTGTGTTGATCGTCCACTGAAAATGAATCTTACGGTCACTAAACATGACTTATAAAGGACTTAAATAACTTAAAGTGTCTAAAAGTATTGTGTAAGTATCTGAAAGTGCCTAAAAATACCTTACAATGTATAAAAACACCTTACAAGTGTCTGAAATATCTTACAGTCATAAAAGATACATTACAAAAGTCTACAGTGTCTGAAAGTAAGTTATAAGTGTATAAAAGTAATTTATAGGTATCTAAAAGTAATAGAAGTGTCTAAAATTATTGTCTAAGTATCTTAAAGTGTCTAAAAATACGTTACAAAGTATAAAAATACCTTACAAAGTATAAAAATACCTTACAAAGTATAAAAATACCTTACAAAGTATAAAAATATCTTACAAGTGTCTGAAAAATCTTACAGTCATAAAAGATACCTTATAAAAGTCAACAGTGTCTAAAAGCAAGTTATAAGTGTCTAAAAGTAAATTATAAGTATTTAAAAGTAACAGAAGTGTCTAAAAGTATTGTCTAAGTATCTTAAAGTGTCTAAAAATACCTTACAAAGTATAAAAATACCTTACAAAGTATAAAAATACCTTACAAAGTATAAAAACATCTTACAAGTGTCTGAACAATCTTACAGTCACAAAAGATACCTTACAAAAGTCTACAGTGTCTAAAAGTAAATTATAAACATTTAAAAGTAACATAAGTGTCTAAAAGTATTGTTCAAGTATCTTAAAGTGTCTAAAAATACCTTACAAAGTATAAAAATACCTTACAAATGTCTGAAAAAACTTAAAATCACAAGAGACACTTTAAAAAGTCTGCAGTGTCTCAAAGTACTTATAAGTATTTGAAAGTGACTTAAAAGTGTCTAAAAGTATTATATAAACACATAAAAGTGCCTTAAAACACCTTAAAAAGCATACACTTGTATCTGAATAAGTTACACCTAACAAAAGACAAAAATAGTTTATAGTGTATATAAAACATAGTAGCGCAAGGTACATAGAAACACCTTACAAGGTATGAAAACACAAAGTGTCTGAGAAAAACTTACAGTAACCAAATTCAGTAACTGAATGTGATGTGTACATATCTAAAAGTGCCTGCTGAATTTGTTATTAATGGCCTAGTCAAAGGGGTTATATATACCGCAATCAAAATAAAATTTAATTACCTGTAATGAGCTTCATCGTTCTGCTACCTTCAAAAGCAGTCGGATCCAATCCCGTACAAGTGGCATCGCCGCTTTGCGCGACGTTGTAAATAGTTTTTCCATTTTCAGTACTTCTCTGATAAATAAAACATCGATACTGGTCTTCATCAGACGCACTCCTTCTGTTAGGTTGCGAAATTTTTCCAATTAAATACCTAGTAGAGCCCTCTTTCCACGTGGCTAAACACACCAGTTCCTCCACTGGAAACAAAGACAATATTTCGTTAGATCAGCCAAGATACGTTAACACCAATTGACTTACCGTTACTTTCCGTGGAAGGCACGTCCGGACACGCTTGATATTTTAGCACCAATCTGGAATCGTCCGTACAACTTTCGGCCTTGCTGGGTGGGTTGCTGCAGTCTCCAGTCATTCTGTTGTAGCTGAAAGTAAAGGGGGCGCTCTTGAAGGGGCAAGGAATTGGTTTAGCCTCAGGATGCTTCCTGAAGAGGCTGTAAAGGGGCGCATCGCCAGTTATCAGCTGGCATATTTCGGCTAGGGAAGCTTTGGATTCGCAGTAAGCTAAAAAACACAAATTATGTTAGTCACAAAGAAATTGGGACTAAGTTTGTTGTAAAAAACTTACTTTCTTTATACTGTAGCACGCTTGCGTGTTTCGGATGAATCACCATGCACCTATAGCAGTCATCAGATCTGTAAATAGAACGTAAAATATGTATATGTTCTTACTATTGGTATACCTACTGCCTACAATGTTTTATAAACCATATTTTAAGATTGTATTATCTAAAAATCCTACCGACTGCGCCAATTATTTTTTCATAGTGCAACTCTCAATCTAGCCTTATATTCCTACATGGGATTTTTAATATTGCAAATGCACATATACGCTTGCATGTTGATTTTCCCGTCTGGAAACCTACACATTGTGAGAAAAGAACCGCCTTATTGAAACCAACAAAAATGCCATATTGAAATCCCGGTACAACGTACAATGAATGCGTATAAAATGAGAAGATAACAAATAGAGAGATATTGGATTCATCTGTTAGATATTTGTCAATATTTCAGGGACTACGTTGAGACGGGTCACTTACATTGCATTTGGTTGGTTGAATTCTAGGTATAGATTTTTAACAGAATAATTTTAGTGTATTTCATACTGAAAGTTGGCATCAAATTCGTGTACTGTCAATTTAAGCATATTGGTATCAAGCGTCCTTTGGAACCGCATTGGCATAGCATCGTTTGATTTATATTCAACAAACTATTTGTATTTGACAATAAATTATTAACAAACTGTTCTTTAAGGAACAAATTTATATATTGTGTATTTGTGTATTTGTTTGTGTATTTATTTGTTTATTTATTTGTGTATTTATTTGTATATTTATTTGTGTATTTATTTGTGTATTTATTTGTGTATTTATTTGTGTATTTATTCGTGTATTTATTCTTGTATTTATTCGTGTATTTATTCGTTTATTTGTGTGTTTGTATATTTGTGTATTTGTGTATTTGTGTATTTGTGATTTGTGTATTTGTGTATTTGTGTATTTGTGTATTTGTGTATTTGTGTATTTGTGTATTTGTGTATTTGTGTATTTGTGTATTTGTGTATTTGTATTGTGTATTGTGTAATGTATGCTGTAAAAATGTTAAATTGTAAAATTTTTTAGACTGGGTTACATAAAAAAAACTTTGTGGAAGCGATATTAATATTGTAGGTATCTGACCAAATCTGGTAATTGCTATATTTTGGAATAACAAATCCAAATAAACCAACTAAATTTCGTATTCTTTTTGATGCATCTGCATTAAAATTACGGAATTTCTTTAAATAACTAAAATTTAAATTTAAATGTTTTTGTAAGTCAGGGTAAGGCCACAAGACTGCCATGCTCAGCGTGTTTTGCGAAGAAGAATAAACCGATACGTTGAACCTGACGTGTACGAAATTAGAGTAGTTTTCTTTTGTTCAACAAGTGGACATTGTTTAGCTCAAAGGGCAAAAAATATAAATGCTCTAGACTTTAATATGACACATCCCGAAGCAACTAAAGCCTCAATAGAGCAACATTACATGAATGACTACTTGGGGGAGCAGACACTTTTGAGGAAACTAAAAAGCTCGTCTGAGATGTGATCCATGTACACAGTCAGGGTGGATTTGTTATTTGTAACTGGATTAAAAACCACAAAGAGGTTCCCCAAGACATTGACGTGGCTTTAATTGGTATAAAAAATATAAAAATTTCTTCGGAAACACCATAAGTAGAGAGAGTTTTAGGGGTGTTTTGGGATTTACAAAGAGATATATTTTCTGTCAGGGTACGACTGAAAGACAGGCTTCTATCGGACCTTGGCAAATCATGAACTGTATTAAATAATAATTTTGGAAAATACCTGTGCGATCCATAGGCCTGTGAGGATTAGTACTTGGATGAAAACATCACCTTCTGTTTACACACTTTATATTAAATACTACTGGAAAGATTTTATTTTTTATTGCATGGAGTATTTAAAAACTACAAACTTTTTATACTATTTATAGTTTATTTCTAGGAAATTTGTTACTTAAACCAATTTTATGGTATAAAAAAATTATATTACATGATGGCTAACGAAGCGTCGCGTTTTGTAATACTGCAAAACCAATTAGAAAGTAACCAATGAAGGTAGTTGCCACGCATGAATAACCAATGAGAAGTGAACAAGAAGTGAATGCTGTCTGTGACGTAGTTATTAGTTGGGAGACCGTTCTTATCGGCCAAGGCAGTGCCGCTTACAGGAGTAATAAAAGAATTGAGAATGGAAGCTTAGTGTATATTTGATGCAATACTGAGCACAGTGGTGGATGCTGTAAGGAGTTTTCTCGCCTCTGAGAAAATTGTCCCTTACTAATGGCGCTGGTTACGTAAATACTCTGGGACTCATATAGACATTTCGGATACAAGGTAAAGTACTTTTACAAGACTTTGATGGACATAATTAGGATGGGATGACCACTGGTCATGAGGCAGATTAAAAATTGTAAATAGCAATAAAAATCACTTACTTATCATAAACTAAGAATTTGTCACCCTGTTCCTCGTAACACTCTCCTTTGGTTTCTATGTAGGTACTATTAATGAAAAGGTAGTTTGGTACACCGCTTTGGAACCATCTTCCCTGCCAGGTTTTTTTGAACGAACAAGCACCTGAAAAAAAGAAGAAATATATTAAAATTTTCTATTATTTAAAATGAAATATCATAGTTATTTATTGTTATGTTAATTAAGCTATACATATCACAGTAAATCTGTTTTGTTTATAAGTAATTACATCATTACAGACATTGTAACGTAATGAAATTACAAACTGATACATCATTATTATGCAAGGGATTTATGATATATGAAAACCTTTTCTTTATTATGATTGTGGTTGTAGATAAAGTATAGTACATTAGTATAGTTGCAAAAACAATACTACACTCGTACGATTATTTCAAATCAGAAGCTACATGTTTAATTTTAAATAGAGATAAGAGATTCATTTTAAATACCTATTATTGACAGGTTTCAATGTCAAATGTAAGACACAAAATATTGTATTTATTTCTGAAAATAAACAAGATCAATCCTGTATACACGCCTCCTCGAGCTTGTTCCAAATTTCCATTTTTCAATTACACACGAAAATTGATCCCACCAGATGCCCATTTCCCAATTATAAATAAACGATATTTACCCGAACACGATATTCGGCGATGTCAATCAACCATAGTACGGGCTGTCAAACTTGTAATACGGACTTTTATTAATGGCATCGGGGTATCGTTGTGTTCTACGAAGTATTCGATCATTTTCTCCTACGTAGAGTGGATTAGAGACTTTCCGAAGAGAAGAAGTAGTATCGAAGGTGTTTCGGAAGGGTATTAAAAGGATCCTATCAGACTGCGCCAATTTTCAATACGTTCAGGAAAGTTTCGAGTTGAATTATGTTGTATAGCGAGGTTGATTTCCTTAGAAATTCAAATTGAATAATTTCATATTGTAAAGGATATCATCCCAGCTTTTATACGTATATACAAATAAGTTTTATTTAGTCTGGTTAAAGATTAACAGGTAAAATAGGATTATAGTATTATTAAATAAATTACAGCAACATCTCTAAATGCACAACTTCAAGTATAATGTATTAAGATCCAAAGGATCACATCCTCTGCATATTTGAATAATTATAATTGTATATATGCGCGTTGACTAACAAAACCCGAATAACAAATGAACCTCGGCTGCAAGACCCGCGAAAAGCATAGCGAAACATCAGGATGGCATTCATAGTTCAAAATCACTTAACTGATTAAAAATAATGTTACCAGGCTAGATTTTATCATTTTCATAACGTTGACCATGTACGTTTTTTGTGCCAGAAGAAAATCAGTAGTTACATTTTGGCACAGCTCAGGCTTGTGGAAGTAAGACCACGTTTTATATTACTGAAGATTTTTGGCTGCAATTACTCGTAATTGGGAATTTAAAATATGTTCTGTTCGATATTTTGCTAAAGTTTAGGTATACGAGTCCTAAATATTCCAGGCATCTGAAAGCTTATTTTATGTGTGTTGTAAGTTTTTTTTAATGTCTGTTTTGTTGTATGCCATAATGTTTTAAGGACAGCGTCTCCTAGGAATTTCTGAACAAAATTATGTCAATTTAGATTCAATCAAGGAGGTGCTGTTACCTACCGACTAGAGATTGAATTAGTGCAAATTATTACAGAAATCTTTAAGTAACTATAAATATCGACCGACTAGCTATTAGGGGATATTGTATTATGAACCGGTTTTTAGTAGACTGAGTTCGAAGAATCATAATAATAGTCCTGAACATAAAATCTATTTTTCAATAATTGCCGGGATTTCACCAAATAAAAAAAAAAATATTTCGCGATTGTGAAAACGGTCCAATCGTTTTATATGCCATTTATAATATTATAAAAATGTTAACTCTAGGACTCATTTTGGAGTATGAGCATACTTTATTTCAATACTTTTATTGTACTGTTTCATAAAATATTACCTACCTATTATATTTTATTTTTATCGAAAATTGACTTTGTTTCCTGGACCAAAGTAAAGAATGTAGATGGTAACAACAAAAACGATATCTTGCCTCACATTAAATATAAATATTTCCTAAAATAAATAATTTGGTTTATATACGGGTAGTAATACGAGGGATGTTTATAATTTCAAGTCACGAATATAGAGTCGTTTTAAAATATATTGCGACAATAATTGCGTCACATTGAGTCGGAGTGGGACGCTTATTGACGTGTTGCAATTCGCAATATATTTTAAAACTATTCTACCTAATTAATAAATTGTGATTTTGAAGTATCGAATGAAAACTATATTCTCATTGGTTAAAGATGGAAGTTTTTGTCATTTGAATGTTCAAGAATATTAATTGTGATTAATTGGTTAAACACCGAAGTTATCTGTTATCTGATGTTGATACTAACCTAATGTTTTTGGGTAATTTTGACTGTCATTTCCTGGAATTTCCAGGCCCGCATAAATATTTATCCTATTAAAGTACAAAAACCCTACAATAGATATTATGAGTAGGTATTTAACATTCATTTATCTTATCTTATCTTAGGTAGTTACTTCCCTGATTGTCAATAACACATTACCGTATATCTGTGCCAATATGACGTCACGACTTTTAATATACTTAATGAAGGCTGGGGGAAGGAGTTAAGAGTCTATAAATTTACAAACAAGCTTACGGGTATTTAGTTTTCAAAATTACATTACACGTTTCTGAAGTGTTTTATTGTGCTGTTTGTTTTTAATAAATGTTATTTTCTTTAATAGAAAATTTATTTATTTGTGCCAAGTGTCCTAGTGAGTTTCATTGTACATTTTAATCAGTTTTATTTTTGGATAAATTGACATCGACTTCCTGCATTAAAGGTAGGTAGTATTTTTTTTCTATCACTCTCGAGTTCGTCATTGAATAAAAAAATTAAAAGCTATAATTTTAACATTCAAATATTTGCAATTAAAAAATAATATTACGTATTAAATTGACAATAAAAAAACTTGTTATTTAATAATAATGTTTCATTATTCGGAATATATTTTTTCTACGATCAATATCCAAAGTAGGTAGGCTTTTGCACATTAAAATCTAAATAAAAAGTTGACGTTTTCTGCGAATTGTCATAATTTGACATTATTGGCGCACATTACCGAATATTCAAACCCATTTCCATGCTTAAAAATAGAAGATGGTGACATTCATTTAAAAGAAAACCATAACTACTTTTACCAGGTGAAAAATTTCAATATGTTAAAATAATTCATGATTTTTAAGAAATGTGCTAGAAATGATACTACAATATTAATATTCTTTTTATGTTTGATTTTCTAATAATGATTTTATATACTTTTAGATTCAAGGACAGCTAGGTATAGCTCAAAGAAAATTGTGCTACTTTGTAGTATATACTGGAGATGAAAATCCACTATTTGTTGAAAAAATTAATTTTCAACCCATTTTTTTTTTCAAAATATGGTTGAAAAATAAGAAAAATTTTACTCGGAATATATGGCACCTGAGATAATTTTAAATAGAAGAGGACGAGGATTAAAATGTCTGGATACCCCATATAATGAAAATTAAAGTGCAAAGATTAGCAAATTTATAAAAATAATAATTTAATGGACTTTAATGATACAAGTACTTGAAATAATGTTTTTTTTGCGCATAAGCATGTTCATACGTAATTTGCAATTGGTAATCACTAATCACAGATGGAAAAGTATATACGTCAACGATACGTTCTCTTATTTTTGATTTATTTTAACAGGTATAATATATGGTATGTTACTTATAGTATAGATTTTTTTATTTCTTGACCTAATTTATTTGTTACGTCTTCAGCAATTGTCGCTTTCAGTTGACATAAACGAAATTGATAAAAAGTGTTTTTCGCATTTTATTTTGACTGTTTCTCTTACTTTCGAATAGAAACTGAGCTTTGTAAACTTAAAATGACGGATATGTCAAACTAAAACTGACGGTAAAATGAAACATTGAGTATCGTTAAATGCAACTTTTGAACTAGTTTCAAAAATAGCATTAAAATGATATCATTCACAATGTACTAATTTCCTATACTTTTAGTTGATAAATAACCGATAATCATACATCATATAACAAATAGGCGCGTGTCAAAAGGTCACCGGCGAAAAAAGAGTGCCGATGTAAAAAGGTCGTTTCCAATTGTATCATATAAACAGTATCAGAGGCAGTATTATCATCTCGTATATCCCCCGTAAACACACATAATATAAACGGAAATAATCAAATACTAGTCAAAATATTATCGATCGGAGCACCATCTTTATTACATTACATGAAGTAATTATTGATTTTTCGGGGTTTATTTAGAGTTAAATTAGACGCCATTTTTGGTCCAAATTCGTTTTGACATGTTTTTTCAAAGAAAGTGACTTGTACATTTCAAATCTACACGTTTTGAAAAATATACAATATTTAAATATTCTGAGTGTACCAAATTCCAAGTAAAGGTTGAACTTAGGTCGTATTACATTTTTTTTTATTATTTGTTTGACATCGAGGTTAAAATAATTCTACACGGCACCTTTGAGATGAAATAAAAGGGGGTTATTTTACATGATTGGTTTTTATTGAAAATAATAAATTTATTAATTTTCAATAGTAAGGTGACCTAAGTTAGACCTTTATTTTTAATTTGGCCAAAAATTAGATTTTTAAACACTACATATTCGGAAAACTGTCGATTTAACTTTTGGTCTACACATACACTTTTAATACACAGGGATACCCCGTCCTTAATAAAGGGTCAAAACTATTGGGAGACAAAGAAAAAACAGTTACGTTGTGGTCAGTAGTAGAACTAGAGCGTTATTGGATAACAATGGTAAAATACACCATCCAGTTCTCTAGTCCGATGGCTTCGGTCCTGAAGAAGTACCTGAAGAAAAAGAAGTGATAGACAATGACTGGACGGTGTGTAACAGAGCTGGATCCACCACTAGAGGTAAGCAGAGGTAAAAATAAATATCGTAGAGGGTAGCAAAAGGTAGAAAGATGTCATATGTACAGATGTGGCAAATGTATCCTATACAGGTGAGCTTGAAGAGTATTGAAAAGCCTA